ATTCTGTTATGCTTTTGTCTGAAACAAAGCAGCCGCACTGAAGCTGGGGTAGGCAGCATGGAGAAACTAGCAAGAGACGGCTAGATGTTGAAAGTATCCAACTGAAAACAAATCCCAATTCATCAGCACATTTTCACGCACAGTGCACGCAGGTAGGGCAAGTAGGCCGGCCAATCGTTTCATTCAGAAAGAATAAAATATAACAACTGCTTCTGAAATAAGTCCAGCTTTAATTCAGTCTGTGTTTCTCAGACCTGTTGGACGTGCTGCTTTATGTTGAACATCAGTAGTAAATAAGAACGTTTAGCACATTTTCAGGGGTCAAGTCATAATAATGAGTTAAATGTGTGTGTGAGTGATGCAGCTGCACTTGTACTTACATTGTGCTGTGGGGCTAGGTGGACCTCTTGCTGTTCGTCCTCCAGATTGTTGCTGTTTTCTAACCTCTCAAGACCACTTCAGTCCGGTCAGTCCTGCACACACGCGTTCTCTCTTTATTCCCTTCTCTCTAAGAACAGGGTGACTTTGCCTCTCCTTTCCTTGCGAGAAGTTGAAAGAGCTTGTGGTGTGTGTTTCAGAGGTTCCCTCCTAAAGCCTTATCTGTTTAGTGGAGGTATGTTGGTATTTCGGCTTCCTGCAGCTCTGGCCTCCTGCTGCTTCTTCTCTCCACTATCCAGAGTTGTCAGTGGAGCTGATTACGTCCCAGAGTCTGTTTTCTTTTCCACATGCAATGTCAAATTCCTGTGCCTCAGCGGCTGAAAACAACTCACAATTGCAGTGGTCTTTGTTTTAAGTACGTCAAACTCCTGTCTGCCTTCCTCGTTTTATCCCCCCATCTGAGTCCACAGTGCCGTCTCTCCTTCCCTCCCTCCTCCCTGCATCCATCCCACTCTCTCTCCACCCACCAGGCTTATCAGCCCCCCTGCCTTTCTTTAACATCTCCTCTCTGCACATGCATTCCACCCCTCATATCCAGGACATGTTACCCCCCCGTTTACCCTGTTCCTGTTGCAGTGGGGGCTGGGTGCTGTGTGTTGGGGGTCAGAGCGAGACAACTTGCCTGATAAGTTGAGGTTCAGGAGAGCAGAATGTGAGGGGGAAGGGTGGCAAAGACAGTTGAGAGTTGTTGAGAGTAGTAGATGAGCTGCTGATGACATTGCTCAGGTTGTTTGTTTTATCATGTTTGGTTGGATAAGAGTCTGGCACTGCATTTCATGTATTTGTCATCATCCGATATAATAAGAAAATGAGTGATTTTGTTGGGGTTTTTTGTTCCCAAAAATGGCCTGTAACTCCACAACCTGCTAGTAACTTTAACTTTGTATCTGGTTTGCTTTGGAAGAACAGCGCCCTCTTCCTGTTACATGCGTTAACTGAAATACGCCCAAAAGTACATGCGTGGATGTGGCAGGTCTGTTGTGTACATGTAGGTTTTGCTTGCACTTGTGTGTGTTTTAACGCAGCCGTGTTATCATTTAAAAAAGAAGCTTATTAGGTAAACAAAAAAAAAAACATACTTAAAGTCCATCTCCATGCTAGAGGACTAATAATAAAAAGAGAAGCTGAAAATACAGCGCACATTTTCTATTACAAAGCAATTCAGGAGATTTTTGCAGGATGCCTAACCCAGTGTACTGCAGATACTGCTGACCTTTTCAGCAACAGTCTTGTTTATTTCCAGTAAATACACAAATGTACTAAATTAACGAATGATAAGATACATACAGTGTTTGATTAATAGAATGAATTCCTACAGGGAAATGAGCCATAGGGATATTTAAAGTAGAGTAAACAGTGTTTTAGGACTGTATCCTCCTCTTGAATGATATATAGTCTCTAAACGCGACGTCACCTTGCTGCTCTAAAAACATCCTGTTAGGACTTGAACAAGCTAAACCTCGAGCTCTGAAGCATAAATGACCAAACATCTGCGTAGTTCTAATTCTGTGTGGCTGTGCTGAGGTTGATTAAGGCCGAATAGTTATCCATCTGAAATAGAAGTTGAAAAGTTTGTCAGAGGCTTATGTAGTGGTTTGGGCAAGTCATCAATTTTATAACGTGTGGTTTGGAAGCAGAGCCTGTGGAGGATAAGAGACAATGCGGAGGTTCAGATGGTGATTCATTATAGCAGATGTCAAGCCTGGTGTTTAGTAAGATGAGCAGCGGAGGGCTTCACAGCAGTTACATGATGTGAAGATACGAGATGTTGCGAAACCTAGAAACTGACGTCAGTGTTTACGACGTATGATGAGATATATGTGCACTATCAGGAGATGTGGTTTAGATAAAAGCCTGGAGGCTCTAAAAGACAGGATTAGGAAAGGAGGATGATGTAAGAAGAACAAAGAAATCGAGGCAGGCGGTAATCAGTTAAACGATAAAAGATCACAGCATAAGCTAAAGAATTAGTCTTCTCTGATCCTGACTTTCTGCCCTTTTCCCTCTGCTTTGAGCTGCAGTGTTTGTTTACTTCCAGCCCTTCTCTGGTCCCTTATTTCCTTTGGACAGGTCGGTGTGTGTAAAAGATATAGGTCTAAATGCAACATGATGGTTTACAGTAAACAGTGACAGATTAGTATATGGACTGGGGGCGGTGGTGGGGTTGCATCTCCTCTGGGGAATTACAGATGGAAAAGTTACTACATAATCTTTCCTCTCATGCTCAACCAGAGCGGCATAAACAAACTTTTGTCCATCATGATTACGCCGCGTAGTCGTGATTGGACTGCTGATGTATTTTGTCTTTGCGGAGGGAAGAGCGCTCGCCCTCTCATCATCACCTGACTGCAGCGGGGCGGACAGACTGACGGACGGAGGTGGTCTTCCTGTGTGGTTTGAAGCAGGATTTCCTTTAGTCTGTCCCTCTCCCCGTGGCCCCTAACTTGACCCGAGGACGCGGTGACCTGCCAATGCTCCATCACTCTGCTTAGGAACACTGAAGTTTACAGTCGTGCTCAATAACGGCTCCCAAGGCAGCCCTTAGAAAATTAGAGGAAACTTTCTGGTACTCTCTAGAAGTGCAGTTTTCCAAACGCTTCTTTTAGTCTCTGCTCTGAAACTAAATACATTTTTTAAACATTTATGATTATCAGTTTATTTCTTTCCTTTACGTACAGGAAAGTTTGCCTGCTTTTGTTTCTAATATTGTAAGAAGAAAACATTATTGTTATACATGGTCTCCAGAAACAATTAATAGAAACTGTACTTGTTTAATTTGTTTAGTTAGTAACTTAGGAGAAAAGCTCAGACATCGGTTGTTTCCTTTTGGCTCCAGACCACTCTTTCTTTTCATGAGACATGAAATGTTAGCAAATCTAAACAAGTTTATACCTAGAGCCACACAAATTATTTAAAAGTATTGAATCCACTGAATATTTAGCTTTTCACATAAACATTTTCAAGACAATGGAGATTCTATCTTAAAGTTTTTTTAATGATATTATGTGTCCCTACTTATGGCAAGGTGAGATTCACGCATAGGGTACTGTGGTCCAGTGCCTGTCGCCCAGTACAAAAATATTACTATTACTACTATTTTCCAAAGGTAGCTTGTTTGTTTTCTTTGGAATAAAAAAAAAAGAGCTACAATATGCATGAGACAGGTGGTTACAATCAGACTGATACGTGCTGAAGGAAATCGAGATGAAGTAAAGCGTTTATATTAATGTGGTGGTGTTTTTTACATACATGCAGACACAGATTAGTAGAAGTGGTTGTTTTACAGCGGAAAGGACACCTGCATGTTTTTTCTCTCTGACATTTCTGCTCCTGATAAATAGTTGACGAACATGACATAAAAAAACACGTGGTGCATTTGCGGCTAGTCACATGTGAAGGTGAAGTTGACTGTTGCACATTATTATTGTTAGACTACCTTTTGAATAATGAGTGAGGAAACTGAAGTCTGAGCCCTCTTGTTACTGCTCCCTGCTATTTCCTGCTGCGCTATCTGAAGTTTGCCGCTGCTACAGTCTCCTTCCTCAGTTTAACCTGGATGCTGATGTCTAAATGGAAACTTTTACTATCGACCTCAGCCTTATTTTTTCACACGCACGTCTAACAATAGCGAGCTCAAGTAGAGGACGTGAATGACAAAGCTGCGCCAAACATGTGTCACAGCTGAGGGATATGACTTGTTATTGTGAGAGTGGAGTGTAAATGGATTTAAGGTGGGCTGTGACACATTTGAGGGCAGCGAGATGGCTACCAAAAGTGGGCGAGGCAAAGAATGGTGAAAACACATGTTTACAAAATTGGCGTTAAGGGGTTAAATTAAATCACCAACTATTTTGATAATTGATTAATCATTTTGAGTCTTTTTTTTTTATTTAAAAGAACAATTCTCTGATTCCAGCTTCTTAAATGTAAATATTTTCTGGTTTCTTTACTCCTCTAAAACAGTAAACTAAATATCTTTGGGTTGTTGACAAAACAAGACATTTGAGGACGTCGCTTTGGGAAACAGATTTTTCACTGAATGACAATTTTTAGAGTAAACAACTATTCGATTAATCAAGAAAATAATCGTCAGATTAATCGACAATAAAAATAACCGTTATTTGCAGCCCTAGTTAATTAAAAAATATAATCTATTAACATGTCTGTTTTTGAAAGCATTCTTACTTTAGAGCATTTTTTTCTACACATGCCTAAAATTGTACACAGTACTGTATGTTCTCTATGTATGCAGAGATAGATAATACACTTACATGTTTTCCACCCCTGGGTCCTAATGTCTGCAGGTAAGAGCGGTTTTTTGGTTTGCTTTTGATTTAAATGGCGTGACAGAGAGAAGTTGAGTTCATTTCTGTTGTACTATCCAACATAAATCATGAGTATCTCAGTTATTATTTTATATTCCTTGGATAGATTCTTTCTTTATATTGGTATCTCATTTATTCATATTTTACTGGCAGGTTGTGGTCAAACCTCTGTGGCAGACAAGATGTGACCAAGCAAGTGAAATGGGGGGGGGGAATTAGAAGGTGCTGATTCACTTCTGGATTTATCAAAAAGCGTTTATTATTAATAGTCATAGTAATGTCACACAAATTCACAAGTGTTTTAAGACATGTCTGGCTCAGTTTGGTGTGTGTGTGTCTGCAAGTATGTCTGTGTGAATTCTCTAAACAGTGCAGTTATAAATAAACGACCACAAAGAGAAGGAAAGGGGTAAGGTAATATTGCAACAGGAAAAATAGAATTCTCATTTTAAGAAGACAAACAGGAAAAAAAAAAGGTTGTTCAAAGAGAACATTTAGCACCATCTATCCCGTTATCATATTCAACAGATAATATCATAAAATCATTAAAATCTCGTCTAAAAGCCCCCTACATAATAAAAAAAATTACAATTTCTCAAACACTTTGGAAAAAGTAGTTTTGTTTTTTTCCTTAATGAGCATACAAACACAGCATTCCATTAGTCATCTTCTCTACGTGAGCAGTGTGCCTATCGTCTACAGGAAAGGTGGCGTTATATTCATGATAAAGATATCATTTAATATATATCAGGAGAAAAAGGCAGGAGTCGTGAGAGGCGAGCACCAGAGAAACAGCAGCCTCCACTCCTGTGGACACACAACCCCCACATTTCAGTTCTTACAGAGCAATCGGTCACTATAAAAAATAAAGAGAAAAATTGCAAACTTGTACAACCCTATTCAAAAAGGGAGAACATTGATATCCAATAAATAGAGGAAACATTTTAAATTAAATGTACAATGCCAAAACAAAACTCCAGGAAATACTAAGTCTGCATATTAGAACAAATCAGTCAGAGGTACAACACGCAAACACCAGATGACCATGATTTTTTTCTTTTTTTCCAAGATAGTTCATACAGAGATGGAAGAAATGAACAAAAAGACCTGATGAGTGTCAACTGAATATTAATCTCCAGAAGAAAAAAGTATAATTCATACAAACACAAGATTTACAACACATACAAGAATCTGAAAGACAAAAATGAAATCCCCCCCAAAACAACCAAAGTCATTAAAACCCGTATGTTTTGAAGCATTCCAAACACTTGTATTTTTTTTTTTAAATTCTTAATGCTTTAGAAAAATGTTCATATCTCTATTATTAGTATTTTTCATTTTCTCTCTTTTCTAAATACAAGGCCAATGTGGTATATATCTAGGCTGATCTAGTTTAGAAAAAAACAAAACAATAAATTATTTTAAAAAAGACAGCACCCCACAAAAATTGCAAACAGCATGTACAAATTTCAGTATTCAAGACGACAACAGAAAAGTTCTCTCGGGTACTGACAGAAACACGCCATTGAAAGCATCACCTTCTCTCCACAGTCTGTTCAATGGCAGCACCAACTGCCCCCTGGGTCTCAACATCAGAGTTGCCAGGGTTACTGGTTGAAAGCACCATCTGAGAGTAAACTGGTATGTTTTATTGGCGGCTTGGTATCTCTTTTTGTAAACAGTAAAATGAGTAAACGTATTCAACTGGCTGTTCGGCAAGTATTAGCAGTAGTAGCAAAAATGATCTTTAAATAATGAAAGGGTTAGTTGAAAACCAAAGTGAAACTGTCTTTTGTCCTGTCTGGCAGGAGTTTTGGTTATGGCTGAGGAGACGCAGGAAGGGGAGCGCTGTCACCGGGAGGAGGTGGCCTGGTGAGACAAGACGCACAATTGGTTTACAAATAATGAAATTCATGTATTAGTGAATAAGTTTCATTGACCGTTATTTGTATTTCAGGTCAGAAAGGAACCTCAAATTCTAGGAGACTACTAGCACAACTATCAATTATGGAAGAACAAAAGATTAAGAAAGCAGGAATATTCAACGGCGGTTTGTGTCTGCTCACCAGGCTGAAGGAGTCATATGTGTTCATGAGCTCCTCTATGCGGTACTGCTCCAGCACCACGACGTTGGTCAGGTTGGGGCTACGCTGACGTGCGCAGTCCTCACAGTGAACCACATATGTTTTCCTGCTGCTGTTCTCACTTGTCACAAACAACAAATTGAACACCTCCACCTGTGACAAAAAGGAGAGAACGGGTTAAGTAACATTCAAAATAGTTGCAGAACTAACAAGTGAGTCAAGAATATTTCTACTGTAAATCTGTGGTTTGAGAATCAATAAATATATATGCTTCTAAATCTGTAGCGCCGCCTCACACGCAGGTAGGTGTACACAATAAACTGGCAACTGAGAGTCTGTCTGTGATAGACTGATACTCACATCACACTCGTTGCAGTAGTAGGCAGGTTCGTCCTTGACCCGACTCTGATAGGAAATCTTCTTGCCTTCAGCCACCAGTTGGTCCCGCAGGATCTGGATGTGCTTCATGGACTGCAGCAGGCAGTGTCTGGCAGAAAGGTAAAGAGACAAACGTTAATTAAAAGTTACCATCAAACGTTTCAACGCCAATTTTGGAATTTTTCTGTGCATGTATTTTAACAACTTACAAAAGCAATGTGGAACAGCCTTGCCATAAATCCTACCTTTCCATCTAATGCAGTACAATTTAACAGGGCACAAAGGGTATACGATCAGTTTCAACACTGAACATTATGACCTTAATGAAAGTAAGATTTGTTGCATTACTTTAAGCCAGGTGTAACTAATACACGAGAAGCTGAACGCAGTTTGTTTGTACTCACTTAATCATCTTGTAGGTGTCTGGGTCTGTGATCTTCACAGTGCGGGCCACGTTCCAGGACACATGAATCATGGGGACGATGGATTTGACCTTCTTTACTTCGTTCCACTCAAACCTCTCCAGGGCCAGCTGGTACTGGTAAGCTGCAGATACACATCACACACAATGTCTTAAAAAATATTCGCACTATTGTTGAAGTAATCTGTGTTTGGTCGCTAGGCGGCGCGCTTCTTACCATTGAGAGGTCCGACATTCCAGGCAATGTTGTTGCACCAGCCAACAGCCTGAACCCAGTGAACAGTTCCAGCGTTGATCCACACCAAGTCTCCAGGCCGCTGGATGAAGCGGTACACAGGGATGTTGGCGTTGTAGAGGTCCTCCAGGACTGGCCACCAGGACCCTGTCAAGTAGTCCACTCCGTGCCTGAGAACATTAGGAAAAAGTTGTTAGAGCTGATGTTTGAGTCTTGAAAGGTGCAGGGTTTAACATCTAAAATAAACCTTGCACTCCTACTTGCATTTAATATTGGTATATAAGGTAATTATACTTTAACCTGTAAATTATCCAAATGTATAAAATGTAAATACCAACTGAACAACGTCCGTTTACATTCTCCGATTTATCCCTACTCACTTTTCACAGAAGTCATTGATGGCTTGCCAGTAGTCCTCATGGACAGAGAACCACTCGCAGTCTCCGGGGCCGATGTTGATATTCACCGAGCAAAAGTTATTGTTCTCCTGGTGACCTGTTGAATGATGAAGATGGAATATCTTCTGTTATGCCATTTCATTTTTTATTTAAAATGGAGCAATTCAGAGAGTAACTTGTGTTGCCTGTTGTTGTTTAACTAAAGGTGTCTTCCCACCAGTGCACACATTAAGGAGTCTCAGTGTCCTTTACCTGGCGTTCGGCTCCCTGGAACCTTCATGTAGAGCTGGACAGTGTTCATGCCTAGGATGGTGTGACCGACATGGCTCAGCATGTTTCCACTGGATGCCACACGCATAAATGCTGGCAGCTTCTGCAACTCCTGAAGCTGGGGCTTCCACCTGAGCAGAGAGAGCAGTTTAGAACTCTATTGTCAACTTTAATCTTCAAAGACCACCAGATTTTGCTACAGAGCTCATTACTGTCTTGGGTGATGTGTTCAAGTTTCTCACCTCTTGGGATCTGAGAGGTCAATGTTTGTGCCAAATTTAATTATCTTCCCCACTGGTTTCTGCTCAGCACTGAAATGGAAAAAATTAAAGCATTACTACAAATTGTACAACACTTGTTTTGGTAAACGTTCCACTCTTAACACTATCCTTACCTGCTACTTTCTTTAGAGCCGTCCTTGCTGGACATATCAGAACCGATGGATGGTTTCTTCTCATCGTCTTCATCATCCTCCTCATCGCTGCCTTTCTCCTCCTGAAAACATGGATTACAACATGTTCATCAGCTGGACTGCAGCACAGAATGCAGAAACACGGGAGTCCCAGAAAAAGTGGAACATACCTGCAGACTCTCTTGGAAGCTGGAGGCCTGGTACTGGGCGTACTTGGCGATGGTGGTGTGGGAGCGGCTGCTCTCACAGGGCCACGTCTGACCTGTCCCACTGGGGTCCCAATTCTCATCAGCAGGCTGCTGTACCTGAGTCCTGACCTCCACTGCTTGCTCTGAATTTGCTTCCACCAGTGACTTTGTAGAAAACAGCCCCAGGTCTAAAATCAGTGAGAGGAGGGAACATTAGGGCACATACGTTTGAGGCAGTTAAGCATTACCTAATTGCTGAGACTAAAGAGCAGCAGGGATGATGCAAGTACATAGTGCGTCTGTTTGTAACTAATGAACCAAGATGTTGGGCAAGACCCTTTTTTAGTAGTGTGATTTCTCCAGAAGTATCAGGAAAGCTTTTTACATGTAAATAAATTGAATGTGTCAGTGCAAACTTACTGAGTCGCAGAGATCCAGCCAGGCCTCTGATGACAGTAACAGGATTCTTGGGGTCTGTACAAAACTGCAGCAGCACAGGGGAGAAGGCATCCCTCTTACTCTCCAACTACAGAGAAGAAAAATCCCGTCAGTACACAGTAACAAACTCTTGCAGCTTATTTGTCTTCATGCCTGATGAATCACCACAAGAGGGCAGCACAGGCACAGTGTACCTAAATATCAACTCTTTATTCTGTACACTACATATGAAGCCAACTTTATGTTTTTTAAAGACTGCTTTATTTGTGTGATTTCTGATTAAACATTAAAGTGGCTTCCCACCTTTTCTGTTGGCTGATTTATTCACTTCCCATCATGTATCAAATGAAAAGCCAAAGACTGAAAGGAAGCTAGTAAATGTATGAGATGTAGTGGACATGGTGACTTACATAGATGCTGGGTGTAGGAGGGTTGAGTTTCTCTCTTGGAATGCGTTCCTCGGAGGTCATGATGGGCTTGACAGAGAAGGCTGGAAGCAAGTATGATTCTCTGAACTTCTCTTTTATTCTGGTCCCCCTAGAACAGAAATAAAGGGTCCTTTAAACTGCGTAGTATGGGGGGGGGGGGATTTAAAAAATTGTAACCACGTTTAATGTTTTGTTTAGAAAAGTCCACAGTGCACTTACTTGCAGGACCTGATAATTTCACTGGCCGTGTTCTTGATGGTGATGTCTTCCAAAGGGATCCTCTTCTCCTCCACCTCAGAGGCAATGAACGTCTCCCTGTCCCCGCTCTCCACTTTGATCAGACGAATCTTCAGCTCCTTGGGTGGCCCGTCTGACAGCGCCTTCAGTTTCAAGAAGTCTGTTGAACCTAGTGAAGAACCAGATTCAGGGCCTTTGTTGTGCTCGGAGGATCTCTCTTCAGAACTTCCCGAGGCCCACTCTGCGTGCTCCCCCTCATTGGTGGAGCTGGCTCCGGATGCTTCTTTGCGTTTCTTTTTATCTGTGTCACAATGACCCCGATTCTTCTCAGACCCCTCCTTGCTTTGGAGGTTGAGGTCACCAAGAATTCTCCGATCCTTCTCCTTATGGCTCTTGCCCTCCTTGTGCCGCTTGTGGCTGGAGTGAGTGGATGAAGAGGATGACGAAGAGGAGAAGGCCATCTCGTCTCTCTTTTCTCTATGCTTCTTCTTTTCTTTCCGGTCTTCATGGTTCCTGCTGCTGCTGTGACTGTGACCGTGCTTCCTCTTCTTCTCTTTCTCCCTTTCTCTGTCCCTGTTTCTGTCTTTCTCTCTGTGTTCCTTTACTTTAGGTTTGTGTCTGTCCCCCACTTTGTCTGGTTTATCATGGGAGTTCTTGTTGGGAAGTGACTGTCGACTGAGCATGACCTCGCAGCTCTTGCCCAACTCCGCCAGAGACGACTCAGAGATGGTCGTCAACTGTTGCTCCTCCTTGACCACCTTAATTGGGTTTATTGTAGGGAAGCTCTCCTTTGTGGTAGAGTTCATTCTGTCCTCTGGTGTCTCTCCATCATCTCTCCAGACATCAGCATCCTCTATTTTCAGTTTCTTATCTTCCAGCAGAGAAGCAGGAGAGGTCTTGAGAGGTGGGACAACTGGACTGAACGGTGGATTAGTTGAATCTGACGTGGGAGAGTTGCCTTGCTGCTGGCGGCAGATATCAGGGCCCAGTGAAAGTGAAGAGGAATATTTGACCCCAACCAGCGCCGAAGGAGGGGGTCTTCCGAAAGGCCCACCACGGTAAGCATACTTCTGGCTCTCTAGGACTGTTGCTAGCGACTTGAACATGTTGTTTACACCTGTTTGGTGGAGGTGGGGTCTTTGGGGTGGTGGAGAACATGATGGGGTCTCAGAATCCTCTTCGTCATCCTCCTCATCAGCCTCACTTTTAGTCTGCTCGGGGAGGCCATAAAGTTTAGCCAGGTCACTGTGGCGGTAATTGGTGTTGCCTACTCCCATTCCCACATGCATTGACTGTTTAGGGACATTTGGAGAAGGTTTAAGGTAGTCCTCGTCCTCCTCGTTGAGAGAAGATGTTCGGCTGCAAGGGGACGCCAGAGAGCCTTGGCGGCTGAGCACAGGAGGGCTAGCGTGCTGATTGGATCCAAAGTCTTCCTGGTTGGGCTGATGCTTGGTCGCCGGAATGAGGTCTGGGGCACACAGGTAGTTCTTGATAGGCTGGACACTAGGAGCAAAGTTGTCAAGAAGACCTGCGGAGCCAGTCTTTTCACTGCTATACATCTCCTCTTCCTTTTTGATAGATTCATCCAGCATGGCCATAATGTTAGCCAGACCATCAGGGAGCAGTGTGGACATCTCAGAGGGCTCTTCCTCAAACTGAGCACTGTCAGAGTCATTTCCCCTTGTGGTGCTGGAGCTGGAGGATAAAGGTGGTGGTTGGGAGGGTTTCTCTGGGAAAAGCCTGATAGAGTTTTGGGGGCTCTCTAAGTGCCACGGTAGGGAGGGAGTGTTGGCTGCCGTCTCTCTCCCTGGCTGAGTCTTTGGACTGGTTGGGTGCGGCTTGCATTGCCGGGGGCTTGTTGGCGTATATCGACTGGTTCATCCCTGAGGTGCTGAGTGTTGTTGAGGGACTGAAAGTCGTTCCGCCATAATTGCCCCTCATCTCCCTCTGCCGCTGCTTTTCCCTGGCATACTCGGTCTGAGGTGTAAGAGGGGGCGGCCGCAGCCTTTCAACAGGAGTAGTGGCGGTGGGTGTCTGGCCTGGTGGACCAGGGAGTATGCCACCACGGCTTAGCCAGGGGTAGGGGGGTGAAGCCTGGGAGTTGGGGGGCGATGGACCTGATGAAGGTGCAGTAACAGAAGAGAGGCGAGGAGGTGGGGGTGTTGGACAAGTGCTGCCAGCGAGCAGTCTCTCCAGATTTTCAATAGCTGTCTGCTCTTTGCCTTTTGCACAGCACAGTTCCTCCTCTTCCTCCATCCTCTTTTTCTCCTCCTCTTTCCTCTCCAACTCTCTATGTTTTCGCTTCTCTTCCTCCTGCCTCACTAGTTCTTTCTTCTTCCTCTCCTGCTTCTCTGCTTCTCTCTTCTTCCTCTCCTCCTCTTGCCTCTCCCACTCTCTCCTCTTCCTTTCCCGCTCCTTCTTCTCCCATTCTCTCTTTTTCCTCTCCTCTTCCTGCCTCTCCCATTCTCTCCTCTTCCTCTCCTCTTCCTGCCTCTCCCAGTCTCTTTTTTTCCTCTCCTCCTCCAGCCTCTCTGCTTCTCTCCTCCTCCTCTCCTCTTCTTGTCTCCGATTTCTCTCCTGCTCCTGCCTCTCCCATTCTCTCCTTCTCCTCTCCTCCTCTTGTCTTTCCAGTTCTCTCTTTTTCTTCTCCTCCTCCTTCTTTTCCAGCTCTTTCCTCTTCCTCTCCTCGTCCCGCTTTTGTCTTATTTCCCATTCTTTCTTCCGCCTCTCATCTTCTCTCATTTTTCTCTCGCGCTCCTCTCTGTCCCTCTTCCTCCTTTCTTCAGCTTGCATGTGACCCTCTAGCTCTGCGTCGAGCTTGTCAAGAGCCTCTTCGATAGACTGAGGAGCAGAGGTTGGAGCTGGTGGACAAACCTGCGGCCGAGAGTACGCCTGTGTTGAGTCTGACTGATGACCCAGTCTAGAGGAGAGGGCTGGATTGGATGGCTGAGGGCCAGAGCGGACAGTGGAGCGCGGAGCTGGGCGGTATGTAGTGGGAGAGCTAGGAAGAGGATTTGAAACTCTGCTTGTAATCACACTGTCTCCTGCCCTCTGGTGCCCTGAGGAGAACAAAGACGATGATGAGGAAAACGCAGGAGGCTGCTCCAGTTCAGCCTGAGAATAGAATGACATCTTCCCCTTTGTGGGTTGGGACTTGGTGGGTCCCTGTTGTGGTGTGGCCAGCCCCTGCTGGTGAGGTTGGTTGGCAATTTGGCCTCTCTGACATCCTGGCTGCAGCAGCGCATCCAGCTGAGAGGCGGGGCCACTGACGCCTCTGGTGGAGGGTTGGGTTACCGGCTGTCTTCCTCCCTGCCAACTGTTATTACTGCTGCCGTTGTTCACAGGGCAACCAGCAGGGGGTGATGTAGTCACCGTGGAGGCGCCAGCCATAGTTACACCTCTAGAGCTGCTGCTGTTTCTATAGCCGCTGATGGAGCAGGAGCCCTGCGATATGGGAAGATTGGGGGTGATGACAGGTGTTCGAGTGGAGTTTGTTGGGGGCAGAGGAGGGCTGACATGATGGTGATGCTGGGGGGGACCTGGAACCTGACTATCCATGACCTGACTGTGGCTCTGCTGGTGCTGAGGTAGCAGTCCTGGAGGCCTGTAGATGCCCGACTCCTAAAGACAAACATACAGAACAATGTCAATTAATTAATTTAATAATGATCAATATAGATAAGATATACTTTATTGTATATAATATATACTTTTTTGTGATAGTAAGCCTGTTTATTTCAGAGTAAAAACACCTGCTGCATTATATCAAATGACCATAACACGAAGAACAAACTGATGTAAACTACTGAGTGAAAGACTTGTACTCACTAGGGAGTGACTGCTGGGCCTCCTCTGGTATCTCCAGGCCTCATGAGGCCCACTTTGCTGTTGCTGAGGTACTGAGGTGCTGCTGGCAGGAGGAGGGGTTGGAGGACGAGTAGGGGGACCCTGGTGCCCCAGCCCTGGATGAGGCTGGAAGTGGCTGTAAGGCACACTGCTGCTGCTGCTGTTGTTGTTGCTGGTAGCAGGAGGGTTTGCTGGTGACGACTGCGCATGTAGGTGTTGATCTCTGTCTCCCCTGGTTGGGGTAGATGCCGTGTGAGAGGTAGCTTGGCTGCCACCTTGGCCCCCAATGAGAGGGCCTCTCTGGTTGTGAGCACCATGAGGCTCCATGGCCTGGCAGGGTGAACCTAGCCCCAGTTTTGAGCTGGGGCTGGGGTAGGAGGAGTGAGGGGTGGTGGGCTGCTGGTTTACAGCCTGAGGTTGGAATGTGTCTTTCTGAAGCTGAGGAGCACATCCCTGGTTGTAGCTTCCCGGAGAAGAGTTTGTTGGAGGGGAGAGGTTTGAAGGAGTGGAAGAGGCAGGAGAGGATTTTTGGGTGTAGCTGCCCATTCCATGTTTGTTGGTTTCCTGTTAAACAATACAGAAGGAGAAAGAACGCAAAAGAGGATCATTAGTAATATAAAACTCTTTTATGACACCACTTAATCCAACAGTAAAATATTAACCTCTGGGTCCAAATACCATATATCTAATTGAAGGGACATTTTCTTACTGTTCGGACCTGGAACTCCTGGGATGGCGTGTTCTTGCGTTCAGATGTCGGGGGCTGCCAAGAAGTGCTGTTGTTCTTGTGAATGGGGTTCCAGAAGGCAGGTTTTAGAGGGAGGTGGTGGGCCGAAGACTGGTGCGGCGATGTCAAAGAAGGGCCAGGGAAGCGCTGCAGCCCATGATGGGATACCTGCACAGTGAGTGGGACGTTACAATATTTTCCACTCAAAGTAAAGAAAGAAAATCTAGAACTGTGGTCGCAAATTGCCACTCATTGTGGCTGTTTTGGTATAACACAAAATAATCCGCTTATTTCTGTCTGATACCTGATCCGAACTCTTTTTCCTCTTGCTTGGGCTAGGGCGGTCCTCGGCGGCGGGGCGGGACGACGGGTGCAGTGATGGCGGAGGAGTGTGCTGGATAACAGAGTTCTCTCCCAATGGAGGACCTGGTCTCTTCAGCTGACCCCCTTGCATCTTCCCTGGGTAGCCCCTCTGCTGTGAACAGAGAAATGAAAGGATCAGTGTAGACAACCAGTGCAACTATTGCAGTGTCAGTTCAAAAACATTCCTTTGCTGAAATATTCAGCCAAAGCTCGGTGACACTGGCTTGTCGCAGCCGATATGACAGCCAGAAAAGAGACTGGTCTATGTCTATATGGATGATGAAACACAATCATAGCCAATTAGAGAGCTCGTACCTGGTGCACCTGAGCCCACATCTCATCTCCCAGCAATGGTGGACCCCGGGGGACATGCTGCTCCTGAGGACCCCCAAACTAAAGCAGACAGTAAAGACAACACAGAAACCGTGAAAAGGGTCATTTTTTTCAACTGTGAAAACAATCTGCATGCATTTTCCATCATCATCATCATCTTGTAGCAGGTTACTCACCTTAAATAGCTGGTTTTGTCTGCTGGGGGGAAGATGGGGGTTGGGGAGAGACCCGCCGCTGCCTGCATAGCCTCCATTATGGAGACGGAGTGAATGCTCGTTGGGCAGGGGAACAGAATGTCCTTGAGGAGGGAGGTGGGATTCATACAGCTGACCTAGTTGCTCCCATGCTCTGTGGGGAGGTGGAGGATGAAGATGATGATGAGGTGGAGGTCTCTGCTGCTCCCTCTGAAGACCTGGTAACATTGGCTGTGGGAGCTCAAGCTTCTCACCTCCTCGCATGGGCCTGGACAGCCAAAAAAAAAAGGGTTACACAATATTACGACAAATAAACACACAAAAAAAGGACAGCACACTCATGTCATTTTGTTGATTTTCACTGATGATTTGGTGCTCGTCTTACCCATTACTAAAGAATTTACTGGGATGGTTCAGTCCACCCATAGGACTAGGAGGTAGATGGGAAAGGAGCTGGTGTTGGTTCATTCCAGGCGAACACCTGACAGGGAACAGAGAGAACACACACCATACAGTCAGAGGATATTTCTTGCATTTTTTACACCAAGGTTGTTGAGCTTTTACTTCAGCTCTCTGTTAAAAAAATAAACAGGTTCAACCTGGCGGTTTTAATGAACAAAGGGGTTAGTAAAAGTTTGTGTATGTGTTGTCCTGGCTACAGACCTGGCAGGTGGCTGCCAGGCGCGGCCGCCCATGGGAGTCCATGGTCCCCGGTTGAGTCCGTCCAGAGGGAAGGAATCCCGCGTGCCACGCCCGCCAAACTGCTCTACTGCGTGATGCATCCAGCCTGTGGATGTTAGTAACATAGTTTACTCACACGCTTACATACAGAAAAACCATTTGGATGAAGAGCAAGATGGAAAGTACTACTTTAATATCTTTACATTTTCTTCTGATTAGTGGCCGACCTGCTCTACCTCCTGAGCCACAGCCACCCCAAAGTATAATCACATTGTGTTACCGTTAAAAACGTACCATGATCTTTTTATTATTATGGCATCCATAGTAGATTTGTGGTCAAATGGTGGACTTGTCATTATGCAACAAACACCAGGGTTCCACGGACTGCCTTAAAAAGCTACTGCACTACAATTACTAGCTGGCCCAATTAAAATTATGGGCTATAGCTGTGGGATACGTACCTCTCTTACTTACAACTTAAATATAGCAATTTAAAAGAGATGATTTATTTGAAATGTCATGCTTTAATTTAAACCTATTTATACATGTAAACAGGTTGTTTATCTATGGACTAACGGTACTAACTTAAAAAAAAAAGGTAATATAACAGTAATAATATACATAATTATAACACAATGTCTGTCATTAAATGTCATTCAGGTGAATTAGAGAGCTTGTACTTACTAGACTAGCTGTGTCTGTGAAGCCCTCCACTGCAGCACAGAGAGGGCCTCACCCCAACACTGAGAATATCTGTACTGTCCGACTCTTTAGCACCAAGAACCCAAAAGCCTATTGGCTGCAGAGAGAGAGAGAAGAACAGGAGAGCCACTATGAGAATACGCAAGACCGAGACACACTGAAAAGTCAATAAACGCCAGTGGGCTCTCTATTATAGAAGCTAGTTGTGTGTGTATGTGTGCGAGTTGCAGAGGTTGGCAGCGGGAGGGTTTAAGTAGAACAGAGGGCAGGGGGGAGCTTACTGTGACTGCAGAGGCTACCTTTATTTACACCCAATTCTCGCCATTGAAATTTCCACTGATTGTGCTCTGGTGAGGACCCCGCCCCCTGAGCAACATTAGCATAACTTAGATTTGCTTGAAGTCTCAAATCATGATGGATGTCTTTGTCTGTAGCCTTGTGCTATGAGTCAGTCGGCCTGCAGGAGGCACCAGTAAGCCAGTCTGTATGGAACAGGATTATTACTGAGGCCCAGATGGCTCAGTGGGGAGCTCACCTAAGAGGACAGACCTGGGGTTACTGTAATCCTTACCATGGGCCTCCTGATAACAAGAGGCAGCGGGAAAGACTAAGAGTGAGAGGCCTTGGTCACATGCCATGTGTGTGTGTGTGTCTGTGTGTGTGTGTGTGTGTGTGTGTGTGTGTGTCTGTGGTGTTGGAAGCGATGCCAAGTGTGCAAGCTGCATGGTTGTGTCAGGCTTGTGCTGATTTAGTGCATGTGAGAGAGAATAGTGTGCGCTCTTAAGTGGATGATTGTGTGTGTGTGTGTGTGTGTACGCTGCAGTACTGTGAAGGATGTGTGTATCTAAAGTGTGTGTGCATGTGGATGCCCAGTGGATTCACTAGGGTTTAATCTCATTACGGCAGGCGTGATGGAGAGGGAGAGGGGGGAGAGAGGGGGGCAGCAGCGACAGACGGTCTGAACAGGATGGAAGGATAGATTAAGGAGAAACGGTGGAGATGGAGAAGAGGGAAGGGATGGAGGGAGGTGGAGCGGAGTCAAGAGCAGGAACAGTGCCATGAAAACGCCCACACACCTTCTCCCACACACACACACACACATATACACACGTACACTGAGACGACACAAAGGAAGCGGTTGAGTGGAAAACGCATAAAAGAAGCTGAGAGATAACTCCAGCTACACTCCCCTCCCTGCTTTCTCAAACACTGGACACAAACACCTACACACATACAGACACACACACACACACACACACAGAAAATACAAAAGACAAAAGACACAAGGTGTCAAGATACAAATAAGTCTGTGTAGTACCTCGATTTAAAAAAGACAACAAAAGAGATCTCTGACAAAACCTGCGAGGCATGTATTCGCACCTTCACCTTCACCAGTGCGGTTGAAAACTAATGTTAAAACAAACACATAAAGATGTAACAGATGAATAAGGTAAGTGAAAAGCAATGTATAATGCAGTAGTTTAGAGTGACACAGACATGCACACACACAGGTTATGATTCATTTATGTTGCTCAGCAAAGCACTCTTCCACCAGTTTTCCTAAATTAGCTCTGGTCATACGCAGTCCTTCCTCCCACCAGTTCCTCTTCTCTTCCTTTCTTCCTCCCACCAGTTCTGGATCATTCTCTCTCTATTTAAAGCTCAGTAGGGGATATTTCAAATGTTGTACACTTTTAGCTTGTCAGGAGGGGTGCTATTTAGTGATACACACACACACACACACACACACACACACGCCGGCCTCTCTATCTATCTCTCCCCTTCCGCCTCATGGGGATCACCATCCACCAGGCTCTGCTGCTCTGTGAAGATAGGCTGGCGTTAACTGTCAAGACTGCACACAGCATGCTTTCAGACAAGCACACACTCATGCCGAGCGTACCTTTTAGAGTAGCACCAAGTTATTGATTCACAGATGTGTTAACTCTCAGCTTCGGCTGCCAATCATCTCCCTGGGGTCCCCGTCAAACCTGAAAGACAGAGCAGACAAAAGCATTCATGTCAAGCTGTCATAGAAACAACATGAAACCACACTAAACACGATACTCAGAGTTCTGATCACAACTGTCATAAACCTAAAGATCTAATTCAAGGCTGACGATGGTCTTTGCTTTCAGTGGGAACCAACAACAACCTCTGCTGCCTCGCTTTTCTCACTTTCTAGACAGTGAATCGTCACTACCCTCACCCCTCCTGGTTTCCTGACTTCTATGGAGATGCCTGGTTTCACCGCAGTACTGAAAACTTGAAGGTTGCTCGGAGGTGAAAGGGTAAATCGTCAGGAGAGGCCAGGCACAATGGGAGCGAGGGGGGCTCTTGCTCGCTCACTCTTTTTTTCCTCTTCGCAGGCAGACACAATGGTGAGAGTGACTGTGTGCGGCTCAACAGGCGAGCAGAAACACAAACAAGGCTAGTCTGCCTCTAACAGGAAGAGCTGGGCCGGCTAAGTCAACTATCGCATGAGCAAGAGCAGCGCTGGGGAAACATAGTAAAATAATAAAACATTATGGAGATAAAGGAGAGGGAAGGAGAGCGGGCCTAGGTGGGAGTTTTAAATAAAAAAAAAAAAACGAGACACATAATGAAAAATCTAGCAAGACACCCCGTTGTGACTGGTGAGTGCAAACAGGGACACAGTGGCGAGGTTGCAATTACCACTTTTATAGAGGGTGTGTGTTTATCTCTGTTGTGACCAAACGGTCGTCTCTTCCAGTTGCTATGCTGGCGATCACATTGCTCCCAGCCACTCTACCAGCACAGTGTGAGAAACTCAGTACCCTGAAACCAGATAGTGTACACAGACAGAGTTACATACCAGCTCAGGTTCTATCAAATGATACCAAAGTGATGAAATGTGGTTACACCAGCAGTTCAGCACTGTTTGTGTATGGAGCCAACAGCGCGAGTGTGTGTGTGCTTGTGTGCTAGCATTACGCATTAAATTTTTCGGGGGAACCCCTGATGACTCAGCGGCGTGGACTAGGGCTTACCCAAAACCGCTCCCCGCAAGCTCCGCCCTCGTGGAACACCCCTTACAGTCAGGTGACCGGGGGCGTGTTTCGGTGCCTGCACAGATGTGACAGCAGCGGGAATTTCTCGGACTTCATGATGTCATTTCTGCTTCCTATGAAGCGCAACGCATGGGTTGATTGTGTGTGTGTGTGTGTGTGTGTGTGTTTAGATTCACAAACAGGATGTGATGATGAGCTGCAGAGGGGAGGGAGGGGTTCATGGCCAATAGAAGAATCAAACTACCAAACCGTAAGTTCATGAGAAATGAGGGGGCAAATTCTACGAACACGTTGATCAATCTGTTGATCACTCGTTTATCTGTTATCTGTTGAGTTTGAGTGACAAAAGTTTGATTGATAAAACACTCACTCTGCAAGTGCGATTGCTTTTTGCTTTCACTTTGCTTCAATTTAACCACAACAAGCGGTTGCGTTGCTCTATACAGCCGAGTACATAGAGTAAGTGACTCAAGTTTAAGTCAAAGTAATTTAAGGACCTTTGCTACAGTCTTGCTAGTGCCTCAGTGAGAGTATACGCAGCTGATATATGTATCTCTTATTACCCTGTTACATCAAAAATTCCCCAACGGCACAACTCATTCAAGTGAAATCCCCCCCCAATCGACACCAGACATCAAAGAGCTGTTCCTGTCAACACCCTCGTCATCGTAGTTAGCTGGTGTTGCTGGGACAATAACTCAATAATCAGCTGGGAGGCGGGGCCAAGCAGGAAACTTTGGCAACGAGACAGAGCGGTGTCAACCGTCATCAACCACACCAAGTAAAAAGCTGGGAAGAAACTAAAGGAGCTCTGTTGAGTCCTCTGTGGCAGCTAACAAAGAAACACACACATACACACACACACAAAATAAATAAATCTACCATAATCCCACGTGACAGACGAACCCAAGCCACGAGCTTGTGGCTGTGCATAGGGAAGCTTACTTGGTCACTACCATGAGCTTTATTTATTCACCATCACCCTTCCCTGCCAACCACTGGCCTGCTCTGGTCCCCAGCCAGACAACCACACTGAGGCCATGAGAGGAAAATAGAGCGGAGGGAGACAGGGAGAGGCAGTAACGGGCATAACACTGCAAAATGTATCTATGGCAGTATAAAAATTTGACTCCTTTCTACCTCTTGAAAAACCTGAACCTTCCTGCAAGGAGTTTTTCCGCTTGCTTAAGTAGCATTGCATTTAATACAAGATGAATGATTTGTTGAGCTGGAGATTTGACTGGCACCATGGTAGTGTTAATCAATATTGCCTGGGGAAAGAGCAAGATGTAGATGAGTAAGAAGACAGCTTACACTGAGAGCGCGGGAGTGACCGTGTGAACCACCACAGAGGACGAGACCACTGAAAACTAATGGCAGGAAGCTGGAGAGTGTTACTGTCCTAGTGAAGTCACTGTAGAGAGTCTGTCTGATAAGAAATGGCCAGATAAGGCAGGGAGAAGTGGTAGATAACAGAAAATAGAGCGAGAGAAAAAGTCCCGCAGCAACAACTTTCTGGCAGGGGATGACGGAAAGGCCGTGCACGACCCGGTCTCCCTCCTGTCTCTATGTCTTGTTCTGTCCTCTCTCGCCCTCTCTACTCCATTTGGCCATTACATAACCAGTCCCAGATAGAGATCGTGTTCTGAAGGAAACACTATTCTTTCTCTCTCTCACAAACACACAACCAACAGAGGAACAGCCAGCCCCTGCATCCGTCCTCCCCCACCTCGTTGCCAGGCTGCCTGTGTGTGTGTGTGCGCCCGTGTGTACACGTTTATTTGATTGCGTGTGTGCAAACGTCAGTGCATGCCGTTCCAAAACGGTGATGCGGGCTAACTTCATCATGTCCACATCCTAACACACACACACACACACACACACACACACACACAGACAATCAGAAGATACTGTTCCAGTCAGCACACATAAGACGGTGTGGGTCAGCAGAGGACACACAGCACACAAATACTGAAGCATCTGACCCCTGTGATGGACAGACGTCTCCTGCTAGCGTCCATCCCAACAACGCAGCCCTTCATCCGGGGGACAGAGCGCTGACCTCACCCTTCCCCCAGTTACACCTAGGCCTTCCACGCTCTGCGGCACGCCAGCCAGCCATAACAAGCCAGATGAAAGCTCTCTAACGTTGTCTCCTCCTGGCTTACATGCGCACTCCCTCACATCTGCTCTATATTGGGGCAATATCAGAGAGGGGCCTTAAAGCACAGGGGGGACCTCTGCCGGGTTGACAACGCTTGTTATTTCAACATTCAGTAGATTGTGAAACAGCAGAGTGAAGTTGGTGGTTTCTTTTTGGCTGTTGGTGGTCAGCTTCTCGCCGCCTTTTTTCACCGTCAATTTTATTTGTATTCTAAAAGATCCGCTTTGGCTGCGTATCATTTAAGAGATGAGAACGTTGATTTCCGGATGCTTGGTGACGATAAACAGTTGGCCTACATTTTTATCTGTTTGTGGAAAAAGGGGGTGGGGGGCTGGTGGAAATCTTGAGGCCCCTTTTGTCTCCTGACTTACCAGCCTTACATCTGGGCCTGTGATTGACAACACACAACTGGGTTAGTGTGGTGCTTCTGTCTTCCTCTCACACACACACACACACACACACACACACACACACAGAGCAGATGCACGTGCGTGTTAAGTTAAAGAGAAGGGGAACAGAGCTCGGAGGGGAAAGGAAGCAGTCGTCACAACCACAGGAAGTAGGCCTCCCTGAAGAGTGTGTGTGTGTGTGTGTGTGTGTGTGTGTAAGAGAGAGGCCTTGGGGAGGGGTTTGAAAGCTGGGGCTTCCTGTCTGAAAAGATGTGTGTGTTTTAGTCTGTTAAAAGCATTTTGACTGTTAAAAGTAGATGACAGTGATCGTTATGTGACTAATATGACGTCTCTGCAGATGTGAAATGTCAATTCAAAAACCTGACTGGTTTAAGTCACGGCTCCTAAAATACACCTCAGACACACGGCCGTCTTGTGTGAAGAGCACGTGTGTCCAACTCATGACTCACACAAGCCTCGTCGGCAAAAACATGACTTTGAAAAGCTGCTCACTTGGCTCTGACCCTGGGTGTTATGTGAAAAGCTTTGTTTGCCACCCCTTTTTTTAGCTTCTGGTAAAAGTGAATGATAAACATATGACGTAGAATGAGTGTGCGAGTGTGTGTGAATGACTTCTCCCAGTCACTTGTGCACCCTGCTTAACTTTCACAGAAACTCCGCATTACTACATCAGAAACATCAGTCTGGATTTCTCGGCAGACATAACACCGTCTAGCTCGAGGTGTGTGCGTGTGAGATAGAAACAAAAAAGAGAAAAGAAAAGAATGACTCAACACCTGGCGAAAAGGAAAAACAGCGTGTAAGTCCCGACAAACCGGAAATCTGAGAGCATGTGGGCGTCTCAGTGACAACTGACAACGGCTCGATCACCGTCACTCTCGCTTTCCACACTTGGGCGACCTCAAAAGCCCCCAAACTTTTCTTTCTGCTTCTCCGGGTGTTTGTGTTCAATAACAAATCTGAGAAAAGCCCAGGACAAGACAGAACACCACGCTGCCTCTTTTTACAGGAAAAAAAAATCACAACGGCAAAATCCCCCCTCCCTCGTACTGCTCTGTGTCTCTCCTGGTGATTCTGTTCCACATCCAGGATTAACACACAGACACACACACACACACACACACACAAACTACCTCAGAAATTCACTAAACAAGACAAAACTCTGCTCCCTTAGCAACAGTTACCAAGGGAAGTAGCGGCGTCCTCACTAACAGTTATTAAACGACGCTAGAGAGGCAGAGACAGACAGAGAGGTCTTTAGTGATCAACATGTTTACTGAGGCACAGGGCAGGCTGACCTCACGCACCATCGCCTTCCTCCCCTGGACTCATAACACCATGTCTCATCCACCCAGCAGTCTGTGTGTGAGTGAATAACAAATAAA